GATTTCATTATCTTATTTTTTCCGAGACTATAGAATGTGTTACACTTTCAACAAGCATGACGGCAGTTCCTACATATACCCCTTATCCCTGAGAAGGGGCAGGCGAAGGGAACATGGCACAGAACTGGTTACTCGAGGGTATTTTAAGGGGGACCACAAGTGGCAATTTTCCCTTGCTTCACTGTTGGACAGAGGGGTCCGAAATGAAAATACCTTCTTTAAAGCATAGCCAGCCACCGCGATATTTAGTTTGCACCAGAACTGAACTGCCGATGCATGCAACCGTTCCTACCTCATCTTCGAAGATTCGAGTGTATGTCTTTGGCGCGAATTGCGCGGGGCTATAAACTAGCCCCACGCTAGGTGTGTGGTGTAAAGCATTCAAACCGACAACAAAGGACTCCTTGAATCCAACCAAACCCTAGCTACCCAACTACCATGCCTTTTGAATGCAAATTGCATGACAAAAGGTAAATTTTTAAATTCGAAACACATTTTTCTTGATGGAAACAATTCAGTCTTATAGCCTCCATTCTTTTTTGTCAAATTTCGGGAACTAATCTAATTCTGTACGCCGGCAAGGTGGCGCTACAAAATAGCATAGCATAGGTACAGCATTAAGGCCCGTACGAGCTACAGCCCCAGGCCTATGCCGATGGGCCTACCTAGGTCTTCTGAGTCGACTAACCGTCCATCCCTTTCAGTCCCCACTATCAGTCGGAAACACAAGGAATTTTGAAGGAAAAACATGGATATTTGCATTAGCTCGTCCTCACAGGTCACTATATAGACTAGCTCGAACAAAGACGTGCCAGATGTAAGCAGAGCATATCAAGACGAGATTGACCATCTCAGGATGCTTCGTCCACACTATGCTTCATACTAGTTTGTAAGAGATGTACAAAATATTAACCGAAAAAAAGTCATCAGTGAAGAAATACTGCGAACCTGTCGTAGTTCAAGATGTGGACTTGACTGGATTCCTTTCCAAGAGAACTCGTCGTCAGAACCCTCGCGTTTCCGCTTCTTTTTAACCTTCGGAGGTAAGCCCTCGTTTCGGGACATGAATCCAACAACAGCCAATTCCAACAGTGAGAGAAAAATGAATAACATGCCACTAAAATATCATTAGTCAGAATGTCGCTACACAGTCAAGTCTCGTGAAAGTTTCATGAAGATCCGGAGCAAGCGTGTCCAGCGCCAACAGCTCGACTTTCTGCCGGCAATACGATCCATTCTCCTTCACCCGATCATTTAAATACATATCAGGTTTGTAGATGACCAGAAATTCTAACAACGCTAGAGCAACCACTACGCCAGTTTAACTGTACTCATCAATGCCTTCCCCATCTTGACTCTGAACGGATGTCGAACATGTGGCATCGTGAACACAATCAGATCAACGCTTTTTTCCTTATACATTCAGCGGGGCTTGCGAACGTGAGCTAGAAAAGCAGCAGAATCCAATAAAAGAAATATCTGCTAGAGTGCTACGATTAGACAGTTATGGGTCCCACCATGCAGTACTACGTATGAAGTTCAAAAGCCATTCCCAAGATGCAGCGACGAAGGTGCAGAGTTGGTTTGTGGCGGAGATATATGGCATTTGCAAGCAGGGTACAGCATCGTGATGTGTGAAATGGCGGTGTCAGTGCGTGTCATCCCCCTTCCCCTTCTCCAACCCAACACCTGCACTTCCTACTGGTTTTCACACTCCAAAATTTTTTCGTAGCAGACATGAGGGAAAAGGGGGCGGGGGTCGGGGTTGAACCTCTATTGTACTCCACACCACAACCACCAAGAGTTTCCGCTAACCTCCCTCCCTCCTACCATCGACACCCCCAATTCGTCGAAAGAGACGGGTAGGACAGATATGCGAGATTTCGAGTTTGTGCAAAAAGAAATTACCAGCCTCTCTGTTCCGCCTGTCATAGTCATTAAATGCAAAATTATCCCGACAAGGTCGAATACCGACTCTGAAGACGTCCTCTGGGCTATCATTCCTAGTCGCCTGTATCATTGCTATTGCAGTATGAAGACCACATAATGTTAGATATGTTAAGTGCGAAAAAAATCTTCACGTGAACTATCTCGGGCCAACACCCATCGACCTAAAACTGCTTTCACAGAGCTCTGCTACCCTTTATGCTTTCACTGAATATGATTTGCGTGCGCAACCTATATCTGTGGACTGAGCAGGTACATTACCACAAAATGATGACGTCGAGGTAAGACTGCGTTTATACTCAGCGGCAGCGTACGATAGCGTTTCCAGTGTTCGGCCAGCGGCAGTGACAAGAAAAGGATAGATATCGATCTAGCATCTGCTAGCGTCTCACTAGGTTTCTGCAGCGGCGAAACCAGAAAGTAACAATAAAGTGGGGTATGTGCCAAGAAAATCTAATTCGCCACGTTGCCGGGCGTCGCACGGAACGTCGTGCTCGAAATTGACGATGGCCCCAGGTTGAGGATGGCGACAACGAGCATTCAGAACCGAAAATAGTCAGAAATTGTCTACGGACGGCGGTCTACATGAAAAACCGGTTCCAATCGACAGTCAACCCGACGTCATGGTAAACGTTGTAGAGCTCATCCGCGCGCGGCAGAGCGGCAAATTACAACTCTCTTGTCCGTCTCCCCGGGAGAGTAGGAGAGTAGCGAGCGGCTCGATTGAGCGTCGTGGAATTGTGGTGTGTGCAACCGCACCGCACTACTGAGCACTAAATTGGTTAAATCTCACGCACGGTAATGCAATGCTGGGACCGCATAATGCATAATTGTAAAACAATGGAAAATCTATGCGCGCGATCACTCAGGATCTTCCGTAAGACATGAGCATCCAATGAGAACGATTCATAAAGAATTAAATTGAAATTCCCAAAACGGTCAGCAATTTCCAACAGTATCCAGCCCCCAAAAAAGGATATGGTAGCCCCCGCAAGACGGAACTTGCCATCTGTACGTGTATGACATTCCGTTCAACAGCCAAACGCACAGAATCATCGCCAATTTAAACATTTAGTTTACGGTACTGTCTAGTAGTGCGTGCGCCTTGCACACGTCCTTGCGATTCCACAGACGCTTAATCGGCCGGTTCACTACTGTTCTACCAGTGTACACATGGATGTGTCAAATGGCGGTGTGGGTACGACCCCCCCCCTCGAAGAGGGTCCAGATACGACCCCCCCCCCCTCCTGCTCTAACTGACAACCAGATGCATGTTCACCACAAATGGCTTCCTGAAATGGAATCTGGATTCTCGAAAGGCGCACTCTGCTCTAAAATACAGGAAATAAAAGGCTGTTTCAGCCTCGCATTACCTACAATTTTGTCTTAGGATTCAAATAAAAAACTCTCCTCGTTCGATAACTATGTATGACATGCAACTTGTAACAAGGAACACAATTGAAATAGCGGCTAATAGTGATCATTGATAGGCTGAATTGGTGAAAAAATAGCCCCAAGGTGAGCGTGTCAGGGCCCAGATGTGCATTCAATGAATGGTGACGGGGAAATAATGAAAACATGCACGACACAACAAAGCGAAACATGGAAAATACAAAAAATGCAGAGCTAAATGAAAAAGGATAACCAGGCCGGCAGTAAATCGTTCCATACTTGGCTATTATCGATCAGGCTGCAGGGCGCAAGGCTGCGACCGCTTTCTTTGGAAAAACGTCATTGGAGCGCGGTTGTTGGACTTGCCAACGTCCTGGGGTCTGTTCGGGGGTTATATCTTTTTTAGGTGCGGAGCTTTTGAGGAATGGTGAGCAGCATGCAACGGCAAAGTTTCTACTATTTGTGTATTCTACCTAGCTGCAAACTGAACAATCCCCCGTTGGTGAAATATTCCGGATGGGTCACGGTTCGGCCAGGGGTAAATCGCGAGCTGGTTTCCATGATTCACACAAGGACTGCTTCGTTCAAACGCAATTTCATCAGGACTGAAGTCGTCTTGAACACCCTCCATCTTTTCTCTTTCCAATAAGCTTTACAGTTTTTCTGAAGACCCACTAGTTCAGGAGATATTTTAGATGGGTCACAGATGCGCCACCCTCTGACCCACCCGAAAAATTGACTCCTTATGTGCCATTGTGAGGATACACCTTCGGAAACTTCAGTGTGCCTTCAAAACACATATTTCCCTTCAAATGAGTGAAAGAGAAGCTCGGCTATCTCTGATCGATTTGGTCCGTGCGCCGTGCATTAGGCTCCTACGCAGAGGTGGTGGAAAGGTGTAAAGTTCTGATTTCTCTTGCTTTTTATCTCATGCAAGCAGAGTTGGTTAGGGTTTGCAAAAGAACAACACCACGAACTCCCTGTTCTTTTGAGACGTATTATTTAAGTCATTCTACTACTTACGAGTTCATGCCTATACATCTGACACTTATTTATTTATTTATTTATTTATTCTTGCTATATTGCTAATAAATCTTTTATTTTGTATTCCTATTTACATCCGGGTCTTCTGAAGCTTTCCGTCCGTTCCATTACCCTTAGCAATGACACCTTTGTACTGTTTGATGCCTAGCGAGCTTACTTTGGAACTCCCCACGTCCCCGCGGCCAAGTACGAACCCATTCTTGGGGATTTCCCATGAAAAGAGGGCTGTTAAACGTAGCATTTAAAGCTGTAAAGAATACACTCATAATAAACTTCATTTTTTAAACATCTTGACTTCCATAGCTCCACTCCCACTATCAACTGAAATGTCGAACCATTGCTCGGCTCTGAGTGACCCTTGAGATTACGACCCCCCCTCTCCATCGGCCAGGTACGACCCCCCCCCATGGGTTTGGCACAACGATGCTGTACCCTGTTTCTACATCACACCGTACTCTCTAGCCCCAGCGGGTGGCCAAACGCCTAAGTGCAAATGGTGGCAAACGCTAGATCGATACCTTCACACTCCTTGCTCTGGCTACGCTAGCGTCGCTAGCATTAGGCTGGCGTACGCTGCCGCAAAGTATGAACACAGCCTAAAGGAAAGAAGCTAGTCGTCACCTTAACATCCAAACATCTATCGCTTTCACATATGATACCCGTGGAAGATTTCTGATAATGTTTCCGAACTGGAACGTCATCGCCAGTAGCGAATTCACTCCTAACATTGTTCTGGCTGGAATCGCTCTGAAATAAATAAATAATTGAAATAACATTTGAAGGAATTGCAGGCAAGTTCCTTCTGAATAGTTCCCAAGCGGAATATGAACAGTAGTTCTGTCGCAATCTATGGCATGTGTTTCATCCGGGAAGGCTGTCTCTCTGAGTGCAAGTCAAGAGATTCGAATTGCAGCGGAGCGGCGTAGCAAGTTTTGTAGCGTGGATACGCGCAAGGATCTAAATGATTTGATGCGTAAGCGTCAACTGTCTATCGCAGCCCAATTCTTCTATCCTTTATCTCGTATTCGGGTTTCAAGAAACTTGGTTGAATTATTTTTTCGCAGGCGTTTACTCTTTGAGGTGGTATTACCCTATTTTCTGAAGTATGGGACGCAGTTTTGCCCTGAGCGCTGTGAATGCTTTTTTTTGCTTTTGCACGTTTTTTGTTTGTTTCTTTCTGTGTGAATAAGAAGGTCTGAAAAAAACCACAAGGTTACAAAGAGCAAAAAAAAAACTAAAACGTCTGCTGTTCTATTTAGGAACTTTTCGCGCGCATTGCTGCACGCCTTTCTACGACCCTGCAAATAATAAATATGCCTCAAATCCCAGGAAGATAGGAATGATATTTAGAGGTCATACTGTTTCAAAGCTGCTATCTATAACCGTACACTCTCGTTCTCTGCGGACGATGGGCGTTTCAGAAGGGGCTGGGTTTGGCGCACCTCCAGCCTGTTCGCCACCAATTGTGGTCGCCTTCCAGCTTTCTCAATTTGAAGAGCAGGCTGACGCCGCACCAAGTACAGCCCCCCCGTCCGAAAACTCCCTAGCGTCCTCAGAGAACAAGACCGCATCTTTCTTTGAAGGAATTGTGTGCTGTGTATAATGAAATGAAACAATACCAACCTTGACCCCAAATAGAACGATATCCATGAGATCACGATGGTGACCATTGTTGGTATGTAACCCTGCAGAATGTACCACCCGTATCGCCTCTTGAAAACGAACGCTACTGTCAACTCATCCCACCAGCCAGCTGGATACATCTGAACAGCACCATTATCTTCAAAGTGGTAACTTTAAAGGCAGTTGGCACGATAATTTGGTACTTGGTCCTAAAACGCTAGCAGGGCGCTATTAGTGGTAAAAGGCGAAAAAACGAAGTGAAACGGTCAAAAACCTGCGAAGAAAAGCCTTCGTTCTTAATGACTTGAAAAGCAATTTCGGACGAGTTTCCCGTAGGCATCTTGCCAATAACCGCTACGGTAGGTACGGCTGCACATGTGTACTCATATATCCATGCAGCACCGCAGCCGCTTCATACCAATCCCTTCGCTTCATATTTTACTTAGCAAATGAAGCAATACGAGCATCAGGTACGGTCGTCCATTTGTGGGCGGGCGGGCGCGGTGGGCGTTCGGGTCGGTATGTTGTGGCTTGATAGGGCCTTATGAAGGGTACCTTCCTCGGAAATACGCTACGCAGCGCCTCGTCGGGGTCGCGGAATAGGGTCCTGCCAGGTGTATTAATCCTACTCGTCTATCGTGCCAACTGCCTTAAAGAGTTGATGTTCTATAACATTAAAAACTGTTTTGACAAAATCGTCGCCTTCACAGTGCTCAATATGTTTCAAGTTTTTGATTCACTACCTACCAAAGCGAGCGCCTCGTCAACACTAGCGGTTCCATCGTCGTGTCAAGAACCCCTCGAGAAGGCATCAATGAAAACAAACTCAGTAACGGCCCCACCGTTTAAGCGGAAGCGTCCGCTGCCACACAAGAGCCTAAGTCAGTTAAAAGGAGTATTGTATTGCCTCTCTATAATACAACTAGTAAAAAAGTGTCATTTGGGGGCTATTTAGCCAGGACTTGAAAGACGATCATCGAAAATGAAGTTCACTCATAATGAATGTGGTTTTAGACAGACGTATGTAACATGCCTACGAATAGTGAAGGCATGTTTGAACAAATTCTCACCTGCTGTTTTCATAATGATATCAGCTTCAGAAGTGACTATAAGAAAGCTAGTAGGACGCTAAGAGCTAATAACTGCGCTACTAATGACTGGACCCAAGACAACGTCCAGATTCCACGGCAGCGCTTCTATCGCGCGGTCGAACATGCCTCATCAGTCGGCGCGCGACGAAAGCGCTGCCTTGCGAAGTATTAACGCTGGTCTATGGCGCTTCATTCTTCGCGGCAGCGTACGCAAGCGATTGGCAGCGTTCTGAGCGTCCAGCAGCGTCAATGACAAGAGAAGTATAGGTATCGATTGCGTTTGTCAGCGTCACCAGCGCTCGCTTAGCGTTTCGCTAGCGTCACTAGCGTCTTGAGGGCAAGGAAGGTACAGGTACCGATCTAGCTTTTGATAGCATTTGCCAGCGGCCGGGAATGGAGAGTATGGGGCAGTAGGAGAGTAGCAAACAGCTCGGTTAGGCGTACTGAAGTTGCGGCGTGTGCAACCGCAACACACCACTAGACAACACAGTACACTTAAAATGGTTGAATTGCACAATTCTGTGCTTTGTACTTGTAGTGTACGGTACGCTAGATCGACAACTATACTCCTATCTCGCGAGTCTGCGGGCGCTGGAATCGCTTCCGAACGTTTGTACGTGGCCGCGAAGTATGAACCCAGCCTTGGGAAAGCTAATGAGCCTAACTGTTCAGTTTCCACCTATTGTTGTCACAATATACCAGCTGTTTCCTCTATAAGTCCCCCAGCACCGATTCGGAATTCAAAGGTGCTACGCCAGGCACAAGCGTTTCGACTGGGGCTTATTTCCCTATGGGGGGGGGTCGTATTTGGCCGCCAAAAAGGGGGGGTCGTATTTGGGCTGGGAAAAATTTATTTTTATAGTTGATTTTTCTCGCTTTGCGGACGTTTTGGAGGGGGGGGTCGTATTTGGTCGTTGTTGGAGGGGGGGGGTCGATTTCTTTTGTCGTTGTTTGGCAGGAAACCACACACCACAGTCAGCCATGTCAGCCATCGTACGAGCATGGGGGGGGTCGTACCAGCCCCTGAAAAAGGGGGGGGGTCGTAAAAGCTCGACCAAAATCCCCATCGAATGCTGTGCCCTGGGTGCTCGTAGATGGGCTGTTAGTTAGTAGCTAGTAGCCACTGGTGGTGGGCACGGACTTGAGAGGAGCTCATGGGCTCGAATGTTTTGTTTCCACCAGAATTCTTGCAAATTTCTCTTTTTTCGAACGTGTTGCAGCCTTTCCTTTTACCTACAAGATCGTCTGACACATCTGAGAGATTATAGCGTTAATTCATTGCCTTCAAACGTGCCTTAAAACTGTGGGACCATCGGTGAAATTGTTATTATGGTTATTGATGTCTTCTCGTGTGGTTCGTGAGAGGCGCTTGGTGGGTGGGGTAGGTTGTAAATTTAAGACTCGGAACATGTTCAGGCCTTTGAAGACGACGATTCAGGTAAAATATGAAGCCTGAATGATGTTACACCTAATAACCTCGTAAGGCACAAAATAACTAAGTCACTTAAAACTGACTTTATTTTTTGAGAAAATAAAATACATCAAGGACCGCTCGATTCTGTTCTAGCAACCAAGGCCATCATTATGGCACGATTTTAAATTATGTCGAATTTCCAAAGCCTTGTTTGGCAGTCACCGGACTACCACCGACCCGATGGTTGCCCTACAAGAGAGTAATGAAAGGTTCGAAGTCCTTCAAACGAGCACAAGCCGTCAGGCTGCTCCGGCTTGCAGATTGAGGGATTTACGGGCCCCACTCAAGGATTCAACTATGAAAGGGCCGGCAAAGATGGTTGCTTGCGTGAGCGTCCAGTGGATTCGAACAGTTTCTTTTCATCTTTACCTGGCTATGTTACAGCCTCTCAATTGTGGGTTTGCGAACGGTACGAGCACGTTTTTTCTTGCGTTCCATCTTGACGTGGATCCCCATAGTCACATCTCCCATCTGTCTAGACCAGGGTGAAACTCCCTAGTATACATTTTGGGTTGAATCCACTGG